AATAATAATGAATTATTTCGTGTGGTTTTGATTTGTCTGGATCATGTGACCTTTCTACAGCTGCTTATTATTATTATTAATAATAATAATTTCTTTTTTTTCTTTTTTTTTCCTTCTCATCTGGGCTATTCGTTGTGAGAAAAAGTTGTTTCCCTTTGGTTCATGACTTTGAAAAGCTATTCTGCAGTCAGACATCCTAAGGATGGCATGGTAAATAAAATCAATGGGTCAGATCAATGAGATGTTGCATTACCCTTCTGATCCACCCAGTGTTATTGTGTTTTGAGGAGCGCTCACAAACATGGGTCAGCACAAAAACTTTGTACGGATTTGAAAACAAACAAAACAAACAAAGAAACAAAGACCTAAAAGCTTTCATTTTATATTCAAGGAAGCTGAAATGTAGTTCAGGGAAGTGTTCCGTCCCAGTCAAGGCCATCCAGGGTGCGAACACTATGAAGGCCGTCCCTCTGCATACATGTGGGTGACCTGGATTAAACCTCTGAGCTGAACTGGGATTGTGGGAGAGCAAATTACAGCTCTGCAGGTGGCTTCTCAGCTTCTGCTCTCTATAAGTTAGAAAAGTTTCTGAAAATATTCCAAATTTCAAATAGGAAGGCCAGAAATAGGGACTTCCAGGAAAGACAAGACCTGGTTTAGTACACTAACGTCGCTGACCCCCCAGTGCCATGAAGCATCACTGCCAGGAGACTGTGCTGGAGAGCTGTTGGTGACCTGTTGATCCCTGGTCATGGCACCAGGACATCTCAGCACCTCAGGCAAAACTTTAGCCTTCACTCAAATACTTTTTTCATCCAGAAAAAAAAGTATTTTTTGTCCACTTTTGACAACAAACATTGCTTTTTTTTTTTTTTTTTTTTTTTTTGTCTCTTCAGAAAATGACATTCCTGAAATATCCATGAAGAGCTCTTCTAAAATATTAACACCAGAGAAACGTGGGGCTCATTTGCACAGACAGGCTACGAGTCTGGGACAGGCTCCTGGGCTGGCTCACAGCCTCAGCTCACTGCAGGATCCTGCCACCCCCACGCAGGAGGACTTTTTCTGAACTTCAGACCCATCTCTTTCTTTACACCGTTGTTTATCTTCAGTGCTGGATGCAGGGCAGTGGCGATAAATCACTGAAATCGCTGGTATTTTGTAATTATATCAGGGCATCCTTGCTGCACGACGTACTTACATCTTGCAAATAGCTAATCGCTGCTCAAACTGACAGCAGGTCAAAAGTGCACAGCAGCCATCCCAGGGCTTTAAAAATAAATAAATAGGCGATTCTGTTGACTCTGGTGTGGAGAAATGCACATCTGAACTCCCTGATGTGTGCAGGAGGTGTTTCTTAGCTTACCAGAAGGAAAATTTTGGACGAACTTCCTGTGGTGACGCATCTCCCATCAGAGCTTAGCAGATAATAACAGGGAAGGAGGCTGTGACTTGGGATTAGTGCCATACATGTAGGGTCCTGCCTCAGTGGGACTTGTTGCACCAGTGATGCAGCAAAAAAACTCCAGCAGCCCAGAGCAAGAAACAGAACAATACTCAAGTGTCAGTGAGAAGAAAAAGTTAAAAAATAAAATAAAAAATGAGGAAAACAATCTTTTTACATTGGATATTTATTTCTCTGTGTGGATAGTTGCCACACAGCAAGCAGAGCAGAAAGAAAAAAAAAAAAAAAAAAAAAAAAAAAGGAAAGAAAATAGCAAACAAGTGCAAAGATAGGAAGAGGCAGGTGATATAAGCAAGAGGAGAGGAAGCCAAATTTATTCCCATGGCTCTGCTATGGCTTTGAGAGTGGCCACGATGCAGTAGCCCTGCAGATGAGCTCCCCAAATTTGCAGTGCAATGGGTCCTCCAGAGGCTATGGGGAGGTGAGGGCTCTGCTCAGCAGCCTCTGCTCCCAGCTTTGAAGGCTGGGTGCAACCAGAGCAGCCCATAAGGCAGCAGGTGGGTGGGAGTAGGAGGCTGTAAGGAGCCATTAACTGCTGGAAACGGGTTGAGTCAGAAAATAATGAAATGCCATAATGAGAGACAGCCCAAACTCCCAGGAAATAGGAGCGCAGTAAAAAATGTGGGTGCTTCCTCTGAAGAAAAGCAGTGAAAGGCTCGCTGCCTTCAATAGGAAGGAAAACATACTTCACCGAGGTAGTGGTTAGGTTATGCAGCAGGTCTTTTCCATCTCTGATTCCTGACATCAAACAGCCAGGCACGTTGAGTATAATTAAACATACCAGCAGGCACCACTTACCCCAGGGCGTGCCTTGGCTGCTCTGCTCTCAGCAGCGTGATGCAATTGCCTCCATTAGGCACAGCGCTGTGAGCACGAGCATCACTGACTCATCAGGGGTTGTCTACCTGTCCGGCCACTCACAGGCTCAATTAAACACTGTCACGGAGCAAAACACGGGGCCGATTGGCACTGCAGCGTGCCATGGCAGCCTGGTGCATGAAATCGCTGTGAATAAGCTGGGAAAGGTGCCTGGCCAGAACCATGGGGTGTGTGGTGGCATCTTCCTGTGCCTGCACATCAAGAGCTAGCGCTAGGTGTTGCTCCAGCACTTCAGTGGCAAAATCAAGCTTAGGACAAAAATATTGTTTTCCATGTTAAAAAAAAATAAATAAAAAAGAGAGAGAGAAAGGGAGAGAGTGGAAGTGTTGATGTATGCTATATACTGTCCTCTTTAAATGTCTGATCTCTGCTTTCTCTGCATTCAGTGCTGGTCTTTATCAGCATCATTTTTAATGCTGCACGCTTGGACTGCTGCATGGCAAAGATCCCCAGAGCAATGTAGGGGATGGTGTTAAGACTCTCGCCTAATACTTGAGATGCCTTGGTTTTATTCCCTGCTCTGATGGTCTAATCCCAGATTCATCCCAGCTAAATTTAGGCACTTAGCAGCTCTGCCTGATGTAGCAGATTTTCTTTCTTTCCGGAGGAGGCAGGGATGATGCTGGGCTGTGGTCCCTCTGTGCCTCTGGGGACAGGGCTGAGGAGCTTGGGGAAGGACTGGGAACATATAAAAAGACTGGAGAAGAAGAGGCACCATTCCCTGGCACTGAAGTGGAGGACTACTCATCAGGTAAAAGCCATCAGTTTTCATCTCCAAAGTAGAAGTGGACCTTGTGTCGGAAGGAAAGTGTTAAGGGTTGCCAGGCATGGTGATGCCACAAGAACAAGGAACAGGGCAGGGAACTTCTATCAGAGACAAACTCCAGTCTCTTTCTTCATGTGTCAGTGCTGTGTATCAAGTGACTCTGCAGGCTTTGAACAGTGATAGACTTTCCTTATGGGCTTGTCAGTCCAAAGCCTGGTCTCCCTAACCATTTAAAAGCAAGGTGACAGGCCAGCCACTATCTGTCAACCTCTGGAAGAGATTGGGAGGACAGGGTGAGCCACAAAGAGGGAAAAGATGCCAGCAACAGCACTGCACATTAACATACACTTGCAAGTACCCTCATGAAAGAGAATAAATGGTAAATTGGCAGATATCGTGACAAGTGCTTTTCACAGGTTCATGTGAGGGTTAGAGCAGCTATGGGATTTCAGGGACTGTCGTATGTAGCTTCATGTCATCATCTGGCTATGTAGAGGAGAAATCACTGGATTGCTGTAAGTAGATGTTAATGTAATGCAGCTGACTTCTTTTTTTTTCATTCTGGAGTGCGCACCAAGTATGTTATTACATGACTGTGGTAAAGAGCAGTGGACTCTAATGACTATAACAAATTCATCCTTACAAAAGCTCTATGAGTAGTAGCATTATTATTAATGTTGGCAAAAGTCTTCAAAGGTGAAGCATGCAATAAATGCAAGGTGTTTACATTAGCATTCCAGGCATTTGATAATGAACAGCTCCACAGGGACATGCTCACTCCCACCACCTCCTCTGGAGCATGTCACAGTACAGACGGGGAATGGACAAAGTCTCCCATTGATCCTGAGGGTGAATTTTAGGAAACGTTGGCCCTGAACTGTAGCTTCGTTGTGGCTGTTGCTGCTGCTGGTGTCCTGTATTTCTGCAATAGGAAGCCTGGGGGTTGCAATATATCTTATCATTCACCTCGTAGTGGACTTTGGGTTTACTAAGCAAAATAGCTTTATGTAAAACAAATTACAGGAAGATGACTCTTTCCCCAAAAAGCTGTCATTCCAAATAGGAAAGACTAAATGGAAAGATGTGCAAAAGAGTGGAAAAATTAAACATGCCTGGCATCTTCATTTGGTAGGCCTGGAACCCAGAAACCTTGCCAGAACCTGTCACCATTCTGTTTCTCTACATTTAATTTTTTTTTAACCATTTGGTAATTTCTTTCCCATTCCAGTGATGAGTTGCCTGAAAGTCTGCCTGTTGGCTTGAGAGTAAAACCAGATTCAGAAGAAAGTTTAGACTTAGTGACACAGCGTGTGAAACTTCCCACTAGCCCTGTCCCTGTGGCAGCTGATGAAGTTTCCATCCCAGGGGAGAGCAGTGCTTTGAGCAGCCGCAGGAGGTGTTGCCAAGTTCCTGAATTTCAGGATTTTCCCCTGAAGGCCAAACCAGACACATCTTCCTTCAGACTGACAGGTAGTGCAGGCATCCTGCTCGTCAGTGCCAGCCGCTGTCCAGTCACCCCACTAGGCAGCCGCATCCTGAACACTTCACAGGGCTTTAACTTGGTCACTTAATTGGGGAGAGGTGTGGGTTAAAGTTAACCCTGACATTCCTGAGCCTGCCTGTGATTTTTGAAATAAAGATACCTTGGGGAGCTCTGAGATGTGGATGTTGAAATTAGTCCTGGAACAGAGGAAGCAGGGGGTAGGGGACAAACACCTAAGAAATCCCTCTTCAGTAGCAGTGAGTCTGCATGGATTTGAGCGAGTTGTCATATTTGTAATGATTCTGAACAGGTCACTATGTTGTCCTTATCCCTACTGTAGGATGGGAGTTCCCTAAATCTTATCTTAAAGCTGGGAGAAAATAGGTTGCCTAGGCCTGGGGTAAACTGCTGAGAAAACCTTGATGGGTTGCAGGTGGGAGCAGATGTCTTCTTTCATCAGGGCATCTGCTGTCCCAGGTGGGCTGGTGTACTCCTCCTCAACCACTGCTCTGCCAACCTGCAGGAAACACACTGAAAAGCAACCTTAAAACACAGCAAGCAAAGGTATTTCTGCTTTGTTTATGTACTCAGGAGCTCCCAAGGTGGCCAGAAGTGCTGATGGGGAAGTTTGGACATGATTCAAGGGGAGCTCAGGGAGTTTCAGTCCAAGGTGAGAATGGTTTCAGAGCAATAGAAGGGTCAGCCTGTGGGCAAAGGTGTGTGCTGAAAAACTCTGAGGAAGACCTCAGCTTCTGAAAAACGAAGGAAAGCTGAGGATTATAAGTACTTCCATGGGAAACAATGCCCTGCAGCTCTGACACGTGCTCTGTGACATATAATGGGCTGCTAACCAAGTGGCTCACCAAGCTCTGTGGAATGTTCTCCATCACCAGGAGCTTTTGAAATCATGAGCTGATTTTTCACTAAAAGAGATGTGTGTAGTTCAAATAGGCATTAATTCAGCGAAGTTATCTGGCCCGAGTGATGAAAGATATCATGCTACGTAGTTGTGTTAGTCCTTCTTTTGATATATTAATATTTTTCCAAACAGCATGCTTGCTGGACACTTTTTACAGATCAAAAAAGATGTTCCACACAATATTAAAGATTTGTTTCTGTGATCATATAGGAAAGCAGCTTACACAGATTTTTGAATGGGGAATGCATTTTTTGTAAAATACAACTAGTACCCTCCCCAGTTTGTGAATTGGTTTTCAATTTCAGATACTTAATAGAAGGAATCTTTGGTGGATTATATTTTGGGTAAAATTCATAGATTGCAAACTTCTTGTGATCCATTTTATTGCAGCAAGATTCCTTCCAGAAATGTTATACTATGTGTTGCTGTTTTGTGACTGGGACATGTGGTAACTCTACTTCAAGAACTAGTCAGTGCCAGATTCCACAATACATTTCTACGTTGTCATCCATATAAAGGAAAATCAGAAACATCTGTCCTTTTCTTTTCTCTTCTTTTTTTTTTTTATTCATTGAAAATAAATGCTACAAGCACAAACTAGAATAGGTAGTAGAAGTTGGTGCACAACAGTAGAATAAAGATAGTCATGTGGAAATGTATTCAAGGGTTTATTAATCAAAAAGACAAATCATTAACCATTATTTACTAGTAATAAACATTGGTATTTAATAATTTGCAAATTTTTAGGAGTCATCACGGCTCATCTTGTGACCATGTGTCTATGTGGAATGTTATAATCAGTTTCCAATTTCTGAAATCAGTTGCAAAAATTGAACTGAAGGTAGAACACTTTTACCTTTCCAGAAGCTTGTAGCTATGTTTTTTAAGTATTCACTCCAATGTGTTTGTAATTATTCACTCCAATTGCATATTTTAGAAGTTCTTTTTCTTTGTGTTTATACTTACTGTGTGTCATTCTTTGGAATCAGCTTGGGCCAGGTATCTGTTTGCCAGGACACATACTTCCCTCCTGTCCATATCTGTCATACCATAGACAGCTGCAGCCAGTGAGAGCAGCTTCAGCATTATTGTAGAGAAAACTGTTTCAGGACCTAAAAGATAAAATTGGAAAGATATTAACATTTGATTAACTAGGGAAAATCTAGTGCATTTTGCTTGAGGAACAGCAGACAGAACAAACTGCTTTTTAAACCTTGTTTGACACAAATTTTCAATGAGCCTGTAAGACCTCCTCTAAATGAAGTTGCTGTCACTTTTATCATGCCAGAGTATATCAGCTCTGAGAGGAAATTTTAGCAGTGTTCTTACCATGGGTGCTTGGAAAATATCCCTTTATGTCTCAATTTTCTGTATTCCCATAGATTAGGAATAATCTCTCCCTCTCTCTCATCCTTCATAATTCATACAGAGATCACTTGCCCTGAGTGTTTGTTGCAGTTCTTTATTTTTGGTAAACATCATGCATTTTTTCAGAATCTGTTGGCTGATAATATAACAAGAATATACCAGCACTATTTCTTTAGATTAATCAACCTCAGGACTGAACGAGTTAGGGCTGAGTGAAATATTTTAGTTCAAACTTCTTCAATGAACTTAGGCAGCAGCTGAATATACTTCAGAAAGCATCGCAGCAAATTACTTGTACTGGGGAAAGATAAGACATAGTTTTAAAAGCTTTCGAATTGCCTTTAAAAAATCAACAAAATATTTTATAACTAAGAATGACTTTGTTTCATGTTTGAACATGAATATTTCACCTTTGTGACTGAAACATTTTTCGTTTGCTAAAATTTTGAGAAAATAACTATTAATTTTTTAACCAGAACTGCCAACACACCAGATAGTCAGCCATTTGCGTCAATCTTTGGCCTAATATTTATATCTTTGTCAAAATTATAAGAAAGTATATAATTGTAATGATGCTGAAATGTATTTTTTGTCCTGTTACCAGTTTTGCTCAAGTTGGGCTTGTCCTCTCTGACTTGTTTCCATGTGATTTTTCATGACATTATTGCCCTTCTGTATGCTCCTGTAACTAAAGTGTAGGACACAGTGCTACAGGCTTTTGTAAAGACCAAAAAGGAGATGTCAATCGAAAAGTATTAGTCAGATTCAACAGAGCAAAGGTGCACTGGTGCCCATCAGACAACAGTGTGTGTGCAGCTGCCAGCTCAGAAAATCTGTAAGCCACAGCTTGCTTATGGGGAATTTCCACTTTATATTATTCTGTCCTGATCCTATTACTCCATCCTTAGGTGCCCTCTACTTGGTGGTGTATAGGGATTGCCCAAGCTGGCATGGCATTTTCTTCGCTCTTATGGCAATTTTTGTTGTCACTGATCATGACAGGAACAGACAAATAGAAACTGAGCAGTTTTAGCAGTTTCATGAAGATTAAACAAGACAGGAATGCCGAGAATATGCAAGCTTTATTTATTTATTTATTTTTTAATCAATGCATTCTTTATGGTGTTGGAACAGTTGTGCCTTTGTTCTGGTAGTGCTGTTTTTTGAAAGACAAGTGACTAAGAGACCATTGATTTTTTTATATATATTTTTTTCCTGTTCTTTTCCCCCAAATCTCATGTGTGTCCTTTGCCTGGCACGTCTGTCTCTGAAGTGTAAAAATAGTGCACTACTTTGCTTTTTGCGTATTAGAAGAGCAAAAAGGGAGCTACGGAAGAAAAAATACTCGTATATAGCAAGATTTATCCTGAGACCCAGCAAGTGAGGCTATTCCTAGGTGATGCCAGGGAGGCTCAGGGCTCAGTTCCCAAGCCTATGAGACACATGTTGATGAAGGATGAGGTAATTTCCAGATAAAAGGTAGCAACTGCTGTCAGAGCAATAGTGACAGGAGTGCTGGTGGTGGAAACAGTCTCTGCACAGGTTGTTACCACCGTTATGGTTGGTAGACACCTGCAGTAGGTTCCATAGGAAGAAAGAGAAGCAGAGGTGGAAGAAAGCAGTGAATGACTGCCACTCTGCTCTGCTTGATCATTGCTTTTTGTTGTTGTTGTTCAGTTCAACTTTCAGTAGTAACATCCCAGACTTTGCAAGACAAATGGCTTATTGTTCCTCTGCTGTAATCCACTATGAGATTTCTGATTGGGAATACACAGCCTGGCTTTCAGAAATGTGCATTGTGCATCCAGGCTTTGGCTGTGACAGACTCGAGTTCTTAGTCACATAGGCTATGGGGAGGGAGGGAAAGCAGTGGGACTTGACATGTAGCTTAATAAGTTTTGTTTAAGGGCAGCCAGAGATTGTTACGTAGCCTTGATAAAATTGTGAATGATATAGTTGACCATGAAGGAGCATGCAAAGGTTGAGCATGCAACTGAATGGATGTGGCAATGGTAGCAGGGGACTGCAGGTATGATTTTGAAGAAAAAGCTTTGGAAATTGTTGTCCATCATGAGTTACATGTGAGCCAATGGTGGTGTGTTGCTGTGGTCTGCATGTCCAGGAGAACGGACTTGTGATATAAGGTGTTCTTTGATTTTTGCCTGGGATTTGGAAAGTATGACTTCCACATATTACCAATATTAATACATTAAGGAAAACTTTTTTTGTGTGTTCAAGTATTATTTTAAAGAAATAAAAATATGATTGGAAATTTCCTTTAGAAAAAATCCAGCTCAAGTTTGTATGGGCACATAGTGAGAAGAAGCATGGCATCTTTACAAAGACCCATACTGAAAGGTATCCTTTTGTATGCAGTAACGAAGTTAACTGAAATGAATTTGATCAGGTAGGATTTATTCAAGCAGTTGTTACAAAACTGCACGTGAATATAAACACATCACATTTATGAAAAAAAAAATATATATATATATATATAAATATATAAATTGGATATTGGTCAAGATCTGGTCTATAGCCATGGAAGCAGGTGGGTGGCCTGACTGTCAGAGGCCTAAAATGTAGGGTCAGCAAAGGTGATCTACATTAAGAAGAGTTATTTTAAATCATTGCACTGGCAGTGTGGAAACTTATTTCAGAATTCTTTATACCATAACGAAAGACAAAATTTAGTTCTGGTTGTTTCAATTTCAGCATAATATTTTACTGGTTGTGGTATCAATTTAAAACTCAGCCAGTGGCTTTAATTCATCACATGAAAGCTGACTAATCTTTTGTATATTTCTGATTATTGTAGCAGGCATACAATAACTTTGTATTTAATAACAATCTATTCCTTTATTTATTTTATTTAAAGATAGGCTGAATCTTGCAGGCCAGGTTTGAGTAACAATAAAAGCTCTTGCAGTTCTCATGCATATCCAGTATCTTACAGAAATACAGAAAAGGTACAGGAGAGAGACACAACCATGTGCAGACTTCCAGAAGTAAACAAAGCTTAGAATTTTTACCTGAGAACTAAAAGGAAAACTGTCGTGCTTCTGGCTTATCATTCAAAAGATTGAGTGAAATTTCCTGGAAACCCATAAGAAAAGCCTCCCTAATGGGGAAACATAAGAAGAGAAAAGGGGAGAGTAAGAAAAAAAACATGAGTGAACAGAGATCTCTTGAGCAGTTGACATAGACATGAGGTCCTGAATGAATTCAGACCTGGTACCCAAGGAATATAAAGCCAGATTGTGCAAGGTGCTTCTGAAAATAAGGTTAGTTGTTTCCCCTCAGAAACCACTTGGCACCTTCCACACTGGCTGAAACCCTGCCAGTTTTTCTTTCTTTCTCTCCTTCTTTCTTTTGTGATTACTGTA